TATATATATATATATATATATATATATATTATTTTGATCTGATAACCAAACTCTCAAAAATAAAAATCATTATCATCATTGATTCTAAGCTCCACCCTCGTCAAATCAAACCTTTCTGTATATAAATCATGGATCCATGGCATCAGAAACCAATGGACCACAAATTGTAAAATCATCTTCTTTAAGGTGGTAGACAGAGGCTAAGGAGCTAAGGTCTGGTGCTCGACTACCAGAGCTAGCTCCTACTGCGTAAATGGAGATGTGGCCCACAGTCTCTGAGCTTTGATGACCTCAAGCATTTGGACACTACTGTAAGCTTGTTGCAGACTTCGATGGTAGTGTTTCAGTGCCCTTTTCTTAAATAAGCATTTATTTAAAATTGTTATTTAATATTCTGCTGCTGAATACACGCATGATTTTTATTATATTCAGTGGGGTCCTTAGGCTCAGTTCCCCATGCTTGCTCAAGAGCTATGGCCATGGATGATGGACCTTTGCCCCCTTTGAAAGGTGTGGCCATGCTTGTTTTGTGTTCTTCTTTCTTCCTCCAAGAAAAGAGACTGGAGAGTTTAGGAAGGTGAGTTATGCTTCCTCTATATATATATAATGAGCAATGAAAATGTTTTTTGAATTAAAGTTGTGTATTTTGACCACTTTTCTATTATTCAGTTTGAAATAGTTAGGTTTGAAGTTTCAATCACCATGTTAAAACAAAATCAATTATGAACTCAGTAATATGTAATTAATTAATTAATTAATTAATCTATTTATATCGATTCATCAAATCAATCATCTTGATTTGATTGACTCTATATTAATTTCACTACACCTATTCATCTTTGTTTTCTTTCTTTCTTTCATTTTAGTACAAAGTTTGTTTAGAGAAAAATATTAATGTTATTTGAATTAGATTTCATTGACTTTTGATAAGATTTTTATCATAAAAAATTATTAATGTGATTATAAAAAAATTAAAATTAATACTCAATTATGTTTATAAATTTACTTTCATAAAAACAAGAGGCGATCCGATGATAAAATGTGATATATCACTTCTAACGACCTTGTTGTTGCATACATGTCTAACACGGTTAAGGTAATAATCTTGCATAGTAATTAAAAAAATCACGAGCAAAATCTCTTCTATATATAGTTTGGAAAGAGGCTGCGATTTCAGGATCATGACTCAATTATGCAATACGTGAACTTGAATGATGGATTCTCCATGCATCACGATATCTCACTTGATTTTGTGACTGCCATAGGTGTCCGATTTACTCCATGATTAAACTGAATTAAAGGTTTGAGTTGCTGCTTAACCTGAATTGATTATAAAATAACATTGTTGAATAGTTTTATATTAAGATTAAAGAGATTTTTTTTTTAAATTTGACCTTGGTTTAAGTATGTGGTTATAAACATACTCAATTATGTTTCAGTGCCCTTTTCTTATCTCATATTGGTTGCAAGTTGATTTGCTAAATTTGACCCGATTATATCTCATATTGGTTGCAAGTTGATTTGCTAAGTTACTTCAATTTAACCAAGTCAATGATCAAAAGTGTTTATAAACAAACTTAATCAGAGATAGTCTCCAAATTAACCTGTA